TGTGGTGGTGTATAGAGCCAAAGATGTTAGAATTGTGTCGATGTCCCAATATTTCTGGACCTGACTGTATCTTCTGACTAAATCATGTCCACATTTATTAATGAAATATTCAGACATAAAGCCATGAATCTGTTGGGGCCGGGTGTTACTTACTTTTGAAAACTGCAAGGTGACCCATGCCCTCAGCTTTTCCTTTCCCTTTCTTGCAAAAATGTCTCTGTGCATTTATAGCAGCTTGCAATTTTTGGCTCACGCCCTTGGGGCCAATCTCAGCCTAAATTGTGTCTGTGTCATCCTGACACACTTATCCTGGTTACTGAATTAACACATTAATTAACTCATTCTCTGGGTTCACACAATACCTTGGGTAATCAAGTGGGCTAGATTTTGTGGCTGAGCCAGTAGAAAACTTTGTTAGATTTTGGAAAGCTGCCTTAAAGCATTGCATGAAGAGAGGAGCTGGTCAGTATTGTTCCTGAGAAACCAAAATGGAGCTCTGGGATCAAGCCAAAACAGAGCCCCCTTGCAGTTGAGGTTGACCAGCATTGATGGTTTGTCCTTTTCTCTAGCAAGCCCTGAGGAGCAGTGGCAGCGGACGATCAATGAGAAGGGAGAGGTCGCTTGTCCAACATGTGGCATGATCACCCGGAAGACGGTCCTTGGTCTTAAGAAGCACATGGAAGTCTGCCAAAAAGTAGGAAGCTGCACACACCACATTTAAAAGTTGACAAATGAAACAAACTCAACCCTGTCCCTTCTGCAGCTGTTGATCCTCTGAACGGGCCAATTTTTGTCCTGCTCCTTTGTGCTAAACCAGGAATGGCCCCTGGGCCACTGACACTGAATTCAAGGCTCCTGGAATGGGCCTCACAATTGCTGGATTGCAGCAGTTTAATATGGTCTGTATCGATTGTGTTGAAGAAAGATGAGTTGGACCTTCAGGCTTACAAGGAGGTGAAATCTAAGCATTGTAAAGCATCTGTTTCTCCTCTCTTTTCTTGACCTACTGAGATGCTGTGCAAAAGAGCCCTTGAGGGCCTTTTAAAGGGAGAATTTTGAAATTGGGAAGGACTTCTAAAATCATGCTCTCAAGTCTTTTCTTCTGCAATCTACCACTTTTCGTGTCCTAGAAAAAGGTGTGAGGTAGGATCATTTCAAGGAAGGGAAAAAATGGAAGCCACAGAGAGGTAAGAAAGGATAGATCACAGCCAAGGTTGCAACACAAACTATCAGCCTCCCAAAGTACAAATAACACTCAGACTTTTTAAGGCAGGATTTAAAGATGGGAAAGGAATGAGAGGCCTTTCAGATTTAATTTAAATTGCTGCTATTCCCACCTTGAAACCATCCTTCAAGTGCCCCTGAACATATACCTCCCTGTGCCCCTAATTCAATCCAATTAACATGAAAAAAAACACAGAAGAGAGATTTTCCTGTTGCACCACTTCCTGTTTGAGGTCAAACGATTACCCTATTGAAAGTTTGACCCACTGTTGTTTTGAATCATATGGGGTTGTTGGCAAATATATTAGGACAGGGACAGCTGCTTGCCCAAATACACATTTTCAGCATCTGTTTTTAGTCTCTCTCATAGATCATTTATTTATTTATTTTATTTTTTATTTATATTTCAAAGAGCGACTCTGGGCGGTTTACAATAAACCATAATAAATACAGATTAAAATACAATAAAACAGTATACATAAATAAATAATGTCTCCCAAGGCAATGATGGTAAATGAAGAATAACCTGCTGGAGTGTCTTCAGGGTGCCAGCCAACCCCAGGTTTGGTTACCCCTGCTCACGCCCCACGCAAGTTGGCAGACCCAGGTCTTCACTCCTTTCCGGAAAGCTGGGAGAATGGGGGCCCACCTCACCTCTGGGGGGAGAGTGTTCCATAGGGTGGGGGCAACAGCAGAGAAGGCCCTGCCAGTTGACATTCTTTCATAGATGGTAACATCCCTTCTCTGCCTGCCCGGGTGGGATGGGCCTATGTAATTGGGATGAGACGGTCCCTCAAGTAACCTGGTCCCATGTCATATTTATCCTCTTTGGGTGTATTTATTTTATTTTACTGGGGTCGTAAACTGTCCCCATTGTGAACAACTCTGAATAGCATTCATAAGTTGGGTTAAAAACATACAAAGATGATAAACACTTTTTTAAAAAGAAGATGCATAGCACCATCCTGTATCACACAGAATTAGTGCTCGGTGTAGTTTGATGGAAGGCAAATCGTATCCGGTCTAGATTTCGGTGTCAGAAATATATATATATTTTTTTGTTTTAGCTGCAGGATGCTTTGAAATGCCAGCACTGTAAAAAACAGTTCAAGTCCAAAGCGGGGTTGAATTATCACACGATGGCTGAGCACGTGAACAAGGTATGGGGGCACGGGCTCTTGCGTATGTAGAACAACAATCAAATGCCAAGAGGTTGTCATGCACCATAAAACGCTGAATTGTGTCACCCTATGTGCATTTTGGAAAATTGCATAATCTTTCTGATGTCAGTTTGTATTGTTTATTCCAGTACTCTTTGTCAAAGAGAAAAGATTTTTTGTAAGTTATTGAGGCCACATATTCAAAGCCTAGAGATCACTGGCATTGCTTTAATCCAGTGTTTCTCAACCTCAGCAACTTTAGGATGTGTGGACTTCAACTCCCAGAATTCTTGTCAGTAGCCATGCTGGCTGGGGAATTCTGGGATTTGAAATCCACATGCCTGGAAGTTGCCAAGGTTGGAAAACTCTGCTCTCATCATTGTCTTCAACTCTGCTTCACTTATTGTTGCAAACTGGGACAGTTGGTATGAATATGTCTGTAACTTTATTTCCCTGACTTCTTTTCTCTAGCCTGTTCCCGTGGAAGCTGCTGTCCCGCTCAGTGAACTCGGAGACAGGGAAAGGCTGAGGAAAGTGTTAAAGCAGATGGGGAAACTCAAATGCCCAAATGAGGTATTTATTTTGCTGTTTGCAACAGGGTCACCCGTGATATTGCTAGCCAGGGAGGAGAAGGGCTGTGGGAGGAGAGAGCAGAAATTCCAGTTCATTATAGGAATTCTGGAATCCCTGCTCCAGATGTGCTGTAAAGACACAAGGGTGTATCCTGTCTTGGATTCATGACACTTCTTAAGTAGTGCCTTCAAATGACAGTTCCCAATCACAGGAATGAGCTTTGGGCTTCCATAGTGTACATCTTTAGGAGCAAACAGATTTCTATGAAGCAAGGAAATCAAGACTGGGAAAATAATCACGTATCTGCTAGTTCATCTCTGGCTATCAGCTCCTGATCAGGGATCCTATTTTTAGAAAGAGGTACACCTTTGTATGAACCTGAAAGAGCAGAATTCATTATCCCGGGACAGACCTGTTACATTTGCCGCTTGGCCTCTGTCTTAAACTGAAAACGATTCCTTTCCAGGTATGATTCCCTGAGAGTTTCTTTAGCAAGATTTATTGAGAAGAAACCCAGATGTCCAGCAGCTGAATTATTCCCCATCTGAAACCAATCTGTCTCGCAGTAGATCAGGGCAGAAACGTCTTTATTTTCTTTTTAACCACATTCCTTATAAACTGGCAAACTGATGGGTCTTTTATCTGATTGACTGGCAACTGATTGATCTTTATGGGAACCAACTCTTACTTAATGCATTAAAACAGTTGAAGTTGGAGTTGAAGTTCATGCGTCTTAAAGTTCCCAAGGTTGAGAAACACTGCTCTAAAGGGAGAGGTGATGGTTCCCAGGGAAGGAAGTGAAATGGGCAGGATTGGCCCGTCAGCTCCTTGAACCTGGTGCTGTGTCACCTTGATAGGACAAGATGCTCACCTGCTCTTCTGGACATAGGCGAGATGATGTCCAAGTAACAACATTTCATCATGGCATCATCACGCCGATGTGATATCTGACCCAAGGACATTGCTTGCTTCATTTGCAAAGGGGTGTCATGACACCTGTGTTATTCCACCACCCCCATGGTGCCCATGGTTGTTGAACAGGCCTGGTTGAAACAGTTGGATGTGTCTCTTCTACTGCTTGCAGGGTTGTTCTCAGAGGGGTCAACTGTAGTACTGAAAATATCTGAGTTCTGGTCCTTCCTTAGCGTGGATGTTGGCTGGGTGACCTTGGGCCAGTCCCTCTATCTCAGCCCAGCCCACCTCACAGCGTTGTTGTTGTGGGGAAAAGAGGAGGCAAGAGCATTATGTACCCTGCCTCGGGTTGGACAAAATAAAGGCAGGATATAAATATAATAAATGAAGTGGCTATTACGTTCCCGTTAGTAAATTTTCCATGCCCCCCAGATGAGTTCCTGCTCTTGGGGAGCAAAATTTCGGGGGTCCCTTTCTAGAACTCAGCCACAGTTCTCAAGACAAATTGATAATCCAGCTGTCCCTCAACAGTTGCAGCAAATAATCTCTATTTTACATTCTTGTTTCTTTCATTGCTTATTGTCTGTGGACACTTTAACACTTTTAGGCTATTTTAAATTGTTGGCCTTGGACCAACAATTGTTGGCCCTTGGAAGACTTTCTTCCTTGCTGACTTCTGACCGGCCACCATTTCTCATTTTTTAAGGGTTGCGTGGCCACCTTCTCCAGTCTTATGGGGTACCAGTATCACCAGAAGCGATGTGGGAAGCAGCCATCAGAGGTGGAGAAACCGGTCTTCACCTGCCCCCACTGTGGAAAGACGTACAAGTCGAAAGCTGGACATGACTACCACATCCGCTCTGAGCATCCGTCGACGGTGAGCCCCTGAGCCTCCCACCTGGCTTCCTCGTCATCCAGATTGTGCTTATATTTGAATAGTGTTACATGTTTTATACTGCGCTTGTGCTCATCCTGGCGTTCCCCAACCCATCTAGAAGGCTCCGGGTTGGAAAAAACCGGGATATAACCTCACATGAGATGCAATTATTATGCACAAAGAGAACCTACGCAGAGATCGTTTTTTTGCTCAAGGGAGAATCTTACAGGGATCTCGGAGATCTTCTGGACCTCCACTTGCAAGAGTGCAAGAATCCACTTCTGTTTTGGCCTTATGAGGTGCAAATTCTGAATTGTGCAGAACAATAAACAGCGCTATTGATGGGTTTGCAGATGAGCTAGCTTGTGCAAATGACAGGGTGTGTGTATGTGTTCCATCATTTGCTGGGCCACAATAAATAGCAGACTGAGTCAGTGTGGAGCAATTAGTAGGCAGAGCTACCGTTTCTCTCTCTCTCTCACGCACGCGTGCACACACACACACGCTTTTACTTTATCTCCTTCTAGCAGTCTTTTCTCTCTTCCCTGTCACAGAGCCTTGCAAGCAAATTTAACTACTTGCTTGCAAAGATGCTTTAAAATTAGGCCAAGACAGTCAGATGATGTTAGAACAGTTTTCCGAACCTGGGGACCTTTCTGATGTGTGGAGCTCAACTGAGAATTCTGGGAATTGAAGACCACATAGCTGGAAATTGCTGCGGTTGGGAAACACTGCACTTCACCAAGGCCCACCAGTTCCCCATTGTCCTTTGAGACTTCTGACATGGAAAATCAGTCAAAGGCCCTCAATTGCCACCATGTCTTAATTTGTTTCCTTCTTTCCTTCCTCCTCCTTCTTCTCCTTCTTTGTCTCCCTTCCATCTCTGTCTCCTCCTCTTCCTCCTCCTCCTCTGTCTCCATCTCCCTTCCTCCTCCTCCTCCTCCTCCTCCTCCTCCTCCATTTCCTCCCTCCTCCCCCTTCCCCTTCCAGCATCTGCCTTCCTCACAGACCGCTTTTCTCTCCTCAGCCCCCAGAGCAGCCTGAGCTGAAGCCCGAAGCCAGCCCCACCGAAGATTTCGAGAGGACCCCCAGCGGCCGCATCCGGCGCACCTCCGCCCAAGTCGCCGTCTTCCACTTGCAGGAGATAGCGGAGGACGAGCTGGCCAAGGACTGGACCAAGCGGCGGATGAAGGACGATCTGGTCCCCGAAACAAAGCAAGTGAGCAACTATGATGCCTGAAAGTTTCTCAGAGATGGAGGCGGGGGTCAGAGAATTGGGACGTTTGGGGTGAAGGCTTGGCTCGGGGATTGTTGTATGTTTTTATTTATTGGTTAGATTTATATCCTACCTTTTCTCCAGGAGCCCAAGATGGCTTCCATGGGGATTCCTCTTCATTTATCCTCACAACAACCCTGTAAGGTGGGTTGAGACAGAGGGATTGACCCAAAGGCAGCCATTGATTTTCCACAGTTAGGGATGGCTTTGAACTAGGCTCTCTCTGGTCCTGGTCCTGCACCTTAACCACAGCGCCTCTCTTCAGCAGATCCCGTTGGAAATCGGAGCAAATGTGCCTAGTTCTGTAATTTATGCTATAGAATCAGGTGGACCTCTGCTTCCCCTGAGAGGGCCACTGCGTTAAACCCTCCGGCCATCGGCGAGGGTTAAGGGCTAGCACCAGTGCACCAAGTGCCATGCATACCGATAAGATGGTGCTGCAGTTTCCTTGAGAAATATCTCGTTTTATTAGAACTTGAAGCATAGTTCACCGTCCTCAGCCTCGCTCAACCTGGCTGCTCTGCAGAGGCATGGACTTCAGTTCTCAAGGTTCTCAGTGTGGGTCGGCTGAGGAATTCTGGGAGTTTTGAAGGCCACACCTCAGGGTGGCAAAGGCGTTGCCCAGGGAATGAAAATGCTCTCAGAGACAATATCTATGATTATGCTGATTGGAAACCCCTTATGGACTTTTTGCGTAAAACAGGAAAAAAAATGAAGTTATGATCTATGGCAGTGTTTCTCAGCCTTGGCAACTTGAAGACAGGTGGATTTCAACTCCCAGAATTCCCTAGTCAGCATGGCTGGCTGGGGAATTCTGGGAGTTGAAGTCCACCTGTCTTCAAGTTGCCAAGGTTGAGAAACACTGATCTTTGGTTTTGACAATTAGATAGGATAGATTATAGAAAGAAGGAAATCATGATATAACTAGAGAAAGAGGTAAATCTATAATTGTACTTATAACTGCTATAAAGATCAGAAGCTACTTCTTTCTTTTTCCTTTCTATTTTTCTACCTTTTTTCTTTCCTTTTTTTTTGCACTTTCTCTTTTATTTCTTCCTTTTCCTTTTTTCCTTCTTACTCTATTTTACTTTGTATTCATTTTTACTCTTGTTTTTAAAACTTCCAGTACAATTACATTTAAAAAGGGGGGGGGGATGAAAATGCTCTCTACCTGTTGAACCTGTTGGAGAGGTTAGGAGGGGTAAGAAATCTGGGAGACACTTTGCCACTTTCTTCCGTGGACCTGCGTGTAGCATTCTGACTTTTGTGACTGCTGATTGTTGGCAGCTAAATTATACTCGGCCTGGACTTCCAAAATTGAACCCGAGGCTTTTGGAGACCTGGAAGAATGAAGTAAAAGAAAAAGGACACATCAATTGCCCAAATGACGTGAGTGGTTTGTTGTTGGTTTTTTTCCTGCAAGCAGAGCTTGGTTCTAGTTCCCATTTGTCTTGGGCGGGATTTGAGGAAGATCTGAGCAACATAGGGAGGGTTTGGATATAGTTTAGGGAGAAAGAGTGGGGCAGGGAGAGAATGGGTGGCCCCGTTCACTGTTGGCTTCACCCTTTCCCACCCCAGCCCTCCAATAATTGTTCCGGAGGAAAGTTAAAGTCCATCTAAGCAGATCTTTCCTGCCCCGCTTTTGAATTTCATCTGCCTTTTTTAAAATACTCCATAAAAGAGAAGGGGAGGAATTAGAGGAAGTTCGGAGTGCAAGAGCCTGGATTTGGCCCACGTGTGGTGCTTTCATGGTTGACTGAACACCCCCCACCTTGGGCTGAAGGAGATGGAGATTTAAACCAGGAGAAGATTTTTGGTTGCTCCTCAAACATGCATGCGTGGATAAGAAGGTGTGCTTTGGGAAGACCCTAACTCTGCAGTGGAGCCTACTACTGCCTCTCTCAGGCCTAGCCCAAGGAACTCCAAGAGACCATGCAAATTCAGTCCAGCTATGTTTATTAG